AAATAATTATCGAATCACAGGTTAACTCGTATTCGGCTAATTAAATGCAAAGAGTCGTGCGTCCTTTCAAGTGTTATAAACCATTCAAGAACTTTCTCGCCAAGAAAAGAGAATGTCTTATCGACTTCGCGGTCATGTCAAGTTGAGTCATCCGAAAGTAGGGGGACTATCTGTATTGGGTAAAATTAACAGATGATAGGTGGATGTTCGTCGAGTTGACATATGGTAGTAAAGAAAGGTAGGATACGAGTCAGCAAATAGATGACACCAAGTATAAATATGTGACCACGGTGAAGGAATCAAAATCGGAGAAGAGAATTTGGAATCGAGGTACCAGTTGTAGAAAACAACATTAAACGAGCAACCGTTACAGAGAATCATAGTATTTACTATCAACCGTTATGCAGCTATCAAGAGGGTCTTTCTTCACCTTAAAAAGGAGCATGATTTGGGGATTTTGTCTTCCCTAATTTTGGCAATCAATAGAAATTTGTACTTATTGAAGGACAAAAAATACTTGGATGAAAAAAGGCTATTACTCTCTCTTATTATGTAAAATTTTACTCAGCTAATATTAAGTTTTCAGCATTGTTCTTGTCTCCGGAGAGGTCAATTTAAAAGCTCAGGTTTGTCTCTTCTTCAATTATCCTTATTTTACTCGATTTTGCTCTTCATTATTTTATTTCTTCGGACCAATTTAATCTGCGTGTCTATAAATCACGTTGCAAATTCAACCGTACCGTTTTATGGGTAAACAACTGTAGCTCAATATATGTCAATTGTACCATGTTCAATCATATCATCTGAAAATACATTTAGGCAATAAAAACTGCAACTCAATGGATGAGTATATACATTAACTGGATGAACATTGAATATGTTTGTCTACTACACAGATGTGGTCAACACGAATCAAATGAATGATCCATAAAAAAATTGTCAATTCTAGTTTTGAAGATACGTGTGATATGCATAACTAAGTACTTTTATTTGTAATTTTTGTTTTGAGAAAATATAAATATTAAATTAATACTAAACTGGTTCCACCATATTACATTCCATAGCAATGTCACTTAAGACAATTAGATTACCTAAACTTGATAGCATATTACATGCATCATTAGATAAGTGCTTGACAAAAATAATGACACCAAGTTTATCTTTTTTAGTGCATGGTTAACACAAATGGGAGGCCTTGCAAAGCGGGTGATCTTGTTCAACTTGGACTGATGTGAAGCTTCCTTTGCTAACATGTGTGTGACTTCATTTCCTTAACGGAAGGTATATCTAATTTTCAGGAGTATCTGTTGCAGCATAAACAACCTGCAACCATATAAAAGATCGTTAAATACTTCATTACCTTTAAATACTTCATTACCTTCTTTTATTAATTTAATCTCCTCCATTAAGTCTATTCCAATTTCTAGCATTTTTAGGTGTATTTCCAAAGCAATTTGGAGGCCTTGTTTTAAGCTAGAAATTCTGTTTGAAGTGGAGATAACGCATATGTGCAGTTCGTAAAGCCCACAATCCAACCTCCACTGGTGTTTCTGATGAGGCCACCTAAATAGTATAATTCTTGGTGATACTGGAATCATCATCACATAGCAATTTATATTCCAAAGCATAGTGAAGAATATTTTTTGTAGCCATAGATAAAACCATGTTATTTTGGTTGCTCTTGTTTCTATTAATCCACATACTCAATAGTATAAAAGGGAAGAACTCTGATCAATTAATATAAAAAAATATGTGTAAACTTAAATCTCTCACCGAACAAAGCCAATAAGTAGTGATAGTAATAGTTACATTGGGCATCCCTAACTTAGACCAGAATAATTTAGCAATAGAACAATAGAAGAAAACATGATTTATAGTTTCTGTAGAAGCTTGCACACAAGACATATTGCATCAATATTAATATCTAAGTGATGAAGATAAGATCCACATGGAAGCCTTTCAAGAAAATACTGCCATAAGAAAAACTTAATTTTATTGGGGCAATTTACATTCAAAATCCAAGTGAAGACTTTGTTCGAAGAGGAGGGGCCATCAATAATTTTATAACAGGACTTCGTACTAAAGAGACCATTATTGTTGCCAAACCAAGTAAGAATATCGTTGGTTCAATTTTTCAAAGGTAGTGGAATGATACACAAATTATTGAAAATATTATTAGGTAGATCGAGGGATATTTTAGATAGGTCCCATTTATTATTCTTACACAAGTCTTCTGTTATGAGAGAAATATTACTCTTGGTCAAAGGACCTTTAATACAATTTCTAAGGCATGGAACATTCGGGATCCATCTGGATATCCAAATATCCAAATTAGATTTGGCTTTCGGTAGCCAAAGAATCCTAATATTGCAGTAATTCCAGCCTCTAAGAATACTACTTCAAATAATGGACGTATTGATTTTAATTTTCCTAAATGTATGGTTATTAACAAGGACCTTGACCCACGATGCATAAGAGTAGTGTAGGAGTCGCCAAGTTAAACCAGTTAGAATTTTTCTGATTTGGCACACCTTATGCCCAACCCCCGACCTCTGTATCTTTTTGAAATACATTCCAATTAAGTATATGTATGCCTCATTTTTTTTACAAATTAAGACATTTAAATTTGAATTCACATCTGATTTTTGTAAGATATGTATTAAGATTAGAATGCCTGAATCTGAATACACATCTGAATATTAAGATCTGAATACTAAATGATTAAGACTGTTTATTTTTTCAACATCTGAATGTAAAAAGATTATCTTTAGTTAATAATTAATAAACATAAATTCAGATAAAATACTATTTAACCTTATATTATGTCAACAAAATATAGTTTGAATAATAATATGGTAGTTGGTGGTGGTGATGGCTAATAATGGTGCTTGTGAATGCCAACTAAAGGCGGTGATTAGTTGTGATTTTGGTTGGTGGTAGTGGTTCTCGGTAGTTTATAATGGTAGACATTGACGACTATGGTTGATGATGGTGGTGGTTGTTAAGGTAGATGGGCGGGTGGTTGTGGTTGAGGATGATGATTGTGGGGGTGACAATTTATAATTGTGATGGTGATAGGTGCTGGTAGTCAATAATGATAGGGGTGATGGGCGGTGTATTAGTGGATAATGGTGGACGATAGCAATTATAGTTAAAATGGTAGTGGTTGGTGGTGTATTAACCGATAATAGTAGGTGGTGGCAGTTATAGTTAATATGGTAGTGGTGGATGGTGGTGGTTAGTAATAATGGTAGTTGTGGTTGAGTATGACGGTGATGGATGGTACAATGTGGTAATTGATAATGGTGAGCGGTGGTAATGGTCAATAGGGAATGTAGATGATAACATTGTAAGTCTCTGTTACAGTTCTTAATCATTCACGCCCATTAAATGGTTGTGAAAGAAAAAACAGACGCACTTAATGATTAAGTTCTGAATGATTAATGTGCAGACCTAAAAAACAAACATACTTAATATTTGTGACATGAATAATTAAGATTCAAATCTCCACTAAATGCAAATAAATGAGGTTGTAGTCTCTTTGAAATTTTGATTTTTGATTTTAAAGTTGCATATTTCTACTTTTTAAGTTAAAATATAGAGGGTGTTTGGCTAAGCTTATAAGCTGGTCAAATTGGCTTATAAGCACTTTTTGGCTTATCTACGCGTTTGGTAAAATTAAAATTGCTTATAAGTTAAGGGCCTATAAGCAAAAAATAAGCTAAAAGCCATAAGTTGGTCTACCCCAACTTATCAAATTTCAGCTTATAAGCACTTTAGGTTTGACCAAAATATTTACTATTCTATCCCTAAAATACTTCTTTTTAAAACAAAACTCTTCATATACCCAAACTTCAGCTGCTTATTATTAATTTCAGCACTTTTATCCAAACACGTAACTGCTTATTTTTAAATCAGCTTCAGCACTTAAAAGTGCTTTTCAACACCTAATACTTATCAGCAACTCTAAATCAGCTAAGTCAAACGGGCTCATATTCATGAACTTTAGGTCTTTATTTCACATTTTTGTATCCAACATTTAAGCTTTTTATATTTACATTTATCTTATGATAAAAAAACATATAATTGACTAAAATTTTGAAAAAAGTTGGACAATTATAAGTTCCATTTGGCCCCGTACTAGTTACTAGATAAAGGGAAGAAAGTCATAATGCACTCCACAAACTTTACGCGCAGCATGATCACATTTCACAATATACTTGACTATCTCATTTTTAGATCAACTCCAAAAATCTTTTAAGTGTTATCCGCGATAAGCCCCCTACAAGGGAACTCTTCATTTTTCATTCAAATTTTCAATTTCAATACAAAATCTTCTCTACTATTTTGTTTTATTTTATCTTGTTTGTTTTCTACACATAAAAAATCAACAATTAAATCAAATTAAGAAGTTTTTACATTCAAGACACTCGAAAGTCAATACAAATCAACAAACCGAATAATGAAGGCCCCGTTTGGCCATGAGTTTTTCGAAAATAAATTTGGGATTTATTTTCAAAACTCATATTTGGCCATAAATTTTGCCCATATTTTGGCCAAATCCCAAATCTGAAATTTCAAATCCCAAAATCAGCTATTGAGCCGATTTTGAGCCAAAATTCCAAAACTTGGGAATTATATACATGTTTTACCAAAATAAAGTTGGAAAATATATTTTGAAAACGTATGTCCAAACAAATTTTCATCTTCAAACCAAACTTCACCCAAATCAAATTTTTCAAAACAAATTTGAAATCTATGGCCAAAACGCTAGCGAATATTCCTAGACACGAAATTTACTTTTGAATTACCGCCAAACCAAAGAGAAAGCGAATAGCTTTTCAAAATTTCAAATCATTCCTCAAGACACTTCGCTTTAAGTTCCCAACAATTCTTCGCCGTCGATTAATATCCAACATCAACGGCTATAACTCATGATCCACGTCATTCCATCAGGACCAATAACAACCCTCCTCCACACCACTATATAACTAAACCCCTCACTTCAATTCTCTTCACAAATTCACAATCAAGTCCTCAAATACCTCTTTCTCTCTCTTATTTTCTCTCTCTGTCTAGCGTTTTCACAATGGCACCAAAAGCCGAGAAGAAGCCCGCCGAGAAGAAGCCAGCAGCTGAGAAGGCACCAGCAGCAGCAGCAGCAGCGGAGAAGAAGCCAAAGGCAGGGAAGAAGCTTCCCAAGGACGGTGCTGGAGCAGCTGCAGGAGACAAGAAGAAGAAGAGGGTGAAGAAGTCAGTTGAAACCTACAAGATTTACATTTTCAAGGTGTTGAAACAGGTTCATCCTGATATCGGTATCTCCAGTAAGGCTATGGGGATCATGAACAGCTTTATTAATGACATTTTTGAGAAGTTGGCTCAGGAATCTTCTAGATTGGCCCGTTACAACAAGAAGCCTACTATCACTTCTCGGGAGATTCAGACTGCTGTGAGACTTGTGCTTCCTGGTGAATTGGCTAAGCATGCTGTTTCTGAGGGTACCAAGGCTGTTACTAAATTTACTAGCTCTTAATCAATTTTAGGGTTTGTGTTTTGATTAGGGTTTGTAGATGTAAAGAATTGTCCAATTAGGGTTTCATTTGAAATTATATGGTATGTAATGGACAGCTATTTCATAAATTAAGAATTTTCAGTTTTCTCTGTTAAAGTTGCTTGGTTTTGAATTTTGATGCTTTTCTGTACTTTTTATTTGTTTTGG